AAGTTGTGCACGGTCTTGACTGATACAACCTCAAGATACATACAAAAGATGTACAAAAAAGAAGTACAAAAAAAGGTTTCCAAACCATTCCCTTCTATTAATAAAGCCGGGAATGATTATTAGTTTCTAGCCGGGAATTAAACAGGAAGGCGAATCGAACTAACGGCTAAATCAAAGGAAATTGATCATCTGTTTAGCCTCAATTTTTGGCTCTAAGCAGGAAACATCTGTATTATTTTGAGTTAGGGGGTGGGTCTTTTGAATTGAATATGCATAAAACATATCCAGCTATCTCAGAAAACGTTGAAAACTGAACATGCTGAATACTGCATAATGCAAGACCGCAATGCATTGTTGTAATAAACTCCGAGTTGCATTACCATGACTGAATAAAAATTCTATTTGATTGCTTTTCGATGACGTTCTTGACTATACTGAGCTATTTAGTCACTCTGAAATCATGAAAACTCCTTTTGAACTGTGCTAGAAAGATAAATAGTGCACTTCGGTCTATCCTAGTATCCCATGCTTTCAGGAATAGCTGTAATACATCCAAGCTGTAAATTTCCGCACTTGATCAAAAAGCATTTTTGAAATGAAATGTGTAATTTCTCCTCTTGTCTCCCAGTCTAACAGCTGCAAGCGTATTGTAGATCGAATTATATATGAGAATATTTTAACCTTTAGAAGGRAATTACTGAGAATCCGACGGGCATTCGGTATAATTAGCTTGTAAAACAGATGGTCGTATTAATTGATAGCTTATTTGAAACACTATTCAGCACTAAGTAAAGAAAAACGACAATAAACAGCTTTTCTTCTTTGATGATAGAGTTCACATAAACCCAGAATCGGTTCCAAATTAACTCTTGCTCAGCAACGCCACTGGCAAACAGAACAGAATAGGGACACCGCAACTACTGGGGACCTGACAGCGATATAGAGGAAAYTATATGCACTATTTCCTCTAGATCACTGTCAGGTTCCCAGTACTTGTAATAGGCATGAAACGCATTGTGGTGAAAACGTTGGTTAAGACAGGTTGAAACTTAAAGGAAACGATATATTCGTTAAAGTACTCGCTATGATGCAAACAGCAGTATAGATTCCGCRATTGAATTGCCCGCCATGCCGGACGTTCTCTATATTTGTTTTGGAGGTCGAAAGAGAAATTATCACGCTTCGGAAGCTCTTTTTCTGATGGTGTCCTCGGTGATATTCTGTGCAAGGTGATATAAGGCGTGGAAGTAGCCACTGTAATRTGTTTGTTCATGAATWGGGATGTATGTACCATGTTGCCTTATCAACCAGGTTGATAACGCAAGATGATATACATAGGTATAGGTTACCTATACTGGATACAGAATGAAGGGAGTTGCTTCGTCATTAGTGTTATCRGACAACCTTTGTATATTTTGTGTAGTCATCAAGCCTTTAGCTATAAATACATAAACAGCTTACAATGTTATTAAGTAATGTTTATTGCTGGTGATACTGGCTTTATTACGCCTCAATCTCTAGCCCTTGGATTCATTCTTTATTATCAATTTACGAAGGTGTGTGAGCTTGTTTAACATTCAGGTTGTTCTCACGCATCCTCCACAATGAAATCTAAACTCTTCTAAGTTTTGTTCTATTATAGTTATGTGGGGAAATAAAATATAGTATTCTTGTATTGCCTAGACGTTGCCTAGACGTTGCCTAGACCTTCTTAACGCGCAGATCTTAACGAAGAAGAACAACAAAAATTAGACTTTGTCGAACAAAAGCCTATATATCAGCTATATAGCGGGGAGGACAGCCAAGAAATCGTTTAAACCTGCAAAAAAAATCGCCGTAATCTAAAAGTTCATGAAATCCGCATTTTTTAACAATTCCAAAATCTTACATTAAAAATATAACCAGAATCAAAGGAACGCCTGTTTGCAGGCTAGGCACTTGCGAGAATTGGCGAGATTAATAAAGTAAATATTGTGAGATGGAAGGGCTTGAGCAGCTTGCTGGAAGTCTAACAACAAATAAAGGCTTTTGAGTTCTGTAAAAGAAGCAAGCAGTATGACCAGCTGCCTTTGAAATAGCGCTATAGTTAATGCCCCGTTGTTTTCACTCATGAACTACAGGAAACATGGTGTTTGTATGGATATTTCAAAATAAGAGGTCGAGGACATGAAAAAATTAACATTCAAAAACATTTTTTCCAACCTCCGCCCTCCCTCTCCCCAGTTCCTCTCAATGTTTCAAACTCCACTTTTTCATTTCTCAGCCCAATTTCTTTGTAACGACTTTTTTTCTGGAGTATCTTTAGTCACATTATGTCCACAAATAATCAAATAATGGAGAACGTTTTACTATAGAAGTTTATTTCAATTATTAATTGCTGCTATCATTTTTATSAATACAAAAGTTTGAATAGCATACTAATTGTTAGTATTCCAGAGGTTTTCTACTAACAAGCTGTTTACTAAGTATTTCAGTGCAATGAAACTCAACACGTTAAGAGTGAGTTGTCAATGAAAGTCACCATAGTTAACATAGTTAACTATGAAGTCACTTATCTTAACTGATTTAAATAATGAAGCTATACTTATTAGTAAATTGCTTACTGCAGCTATTCTTTGGCTATTTACAGTTTTGGTAATTATAAAATTCTTATCGCATAACAAAAATTCACTTATTTTATGTTCCTTAGACTGCCTTTCTGGTGGTCTGCAGTTTTAGGCAATAAAGCCTTACCAGACTTCACAAACATTTTTTCCCATTTTTTTTCAGCCATTCCTCTATTCATTTTCTCTTTTACCTTCTCATGAAAATCTTCRAACTTCATCCCATCCACTCATCCATCAATTGATTTTTGATATTTTAAAGATCAATAAATGGTAAAGTAAAAACAATGCATCRGTGAGATAGACAGCCCAATAAATAGCACAAAAAATATGCTAATTATTACTTTATTCTACTGTCTGTCAACACCATCAGTATCCACCACTATGGGCTATTACAAATCCAGCATTACTTACTGAACTATTCATGACAGACCACAGTTGAATCAAAACTATTGAAGACAGTTGAAAAAACTGTTGAGAAAAATCATTGTTCATTAAGGTCTTCTTTTCAAATTTTCTGAGGCAAGTACAGCCTAAAGGACTATCAACTTGTCAGACTATTTCACAGGTATATTGTTTAAACTCTTGTTTGAACCTAGGCTTACTTATTTAGTGTTCATAACTTWACAGTTGCAGTAACTGTTTGATGGAGGAAGAGAT